GACTACTCCGCCTAGGCTGCACTGTCGAGCGCAGATCCACTGAGCGCTCAACACAGACAGCACAGTCAGAAGGAAAGTTGATAAAATAAATTAAAAATTTTGTATTGCTCGATACATATGCGTACCGAACCGAAAGTACTGTATCAAACGGTTCAATATCGATAAGAGTATTGTTGCACCCCTACTAACTATCTTCCATCAATGCCAGCAAGACAAAGGAGCTGGTGATTGACTTCAGCAAGAAGCCACCAGTGAACATCCAGGGTTTGGAAACGGTGGAGGAGTACAAATACCTGGGAGTTCACCTCAATAACAAACTGGACACGTCCACGAACACAAATGACGACTTAGACAATACAATAAGGGTCTAAGTCGCCTCCACCTGCTATGGCGGCTGAGATCCTTCGGCTGAACAGGACACTCCTAAGGATGTTTTACGACACTGTGGTGGCGTCTGCTATCTTTTATCCTGTGGTCTGCTGGAGTGGTGGAATGGCAGAGAGGGACAGGGGGAAACTCAACAAACTGGTCAGGAGGGCCAGCTCTGTCCTGGACTGTCCGCTGAAGTCCATCGAGCAGGTTGGGGAGTAGAGGATGTTGTCTAAGCTAACATCCATCATGGACAACACCTCCCACCCCCTGCATGAGACCGTACGAGCACTGAGCAGCTCGTTCAACAGTAGACTTTTACACCCACATTGTAGTAAGGAGCGCTACCGCAGGTCATTCTTACCAGCAGCTGTCAGACTCTATAACACAGTTTAACATGCTTTTGGTTATCTTGTACAGTACATTTTATTCATATAGCCGTACAATTTTTTTCTATACATTGTTACCTGTATATACAAACTTCAGTTGCTTATGTATATAGGATCACTTTGTGTCTTCCTTTTATATTTTATATTTCCCCCTGCTATAAGAGTTGTGTAACACCCAAATTTCTCATCTGTGGGATAATAAAGGTTTATTATATTCTATTCTAACTCCTAATTTGACTGTAGGTGGGCCACAGTTTAAAGTTCGGTTTCTGACAAGCAAAATAAGGAAGAAATATCCTATAATGATTTTATCCTCAATGACCCCACGGGCTTTAGAAAATGTTCAACCCTCGTCTCACCTTATTATTCCCAGATATTCGCTCGGTTTCATTCTCAATTTCTTGCCTGATTTCATCAAAATCTGTGTAGATCTGTAAAGAAAAGCATCAATAACAATATCACAACAAGTATGGTTCAGCAGACTGAATTCTTTTTAGTATCACAATGACACATACCTTATTTTTAGTGTGTAGAAATTTGCCCCACTCTTCAGTGTCTCTGCCTGTGAACCAGAATAAAAACATTCTTAAAGCAGGTCGACACGGGTGCTGGCTATTAAACAAGCTACTCTGTGCGGGAGCCTGAGCGTAATGGCGGTTAATGCGAGGACTGATGCCTGGTGACATTTACTGGTGTGGTGAATAAAAGCAGCTGGAATTACAGGTAGTGCTTTTGAGGAGGAGGAGGGGGTAGAGCTAAGAAGGTGATGTAGGTTACTAAACATTAAGACACCTGTACAATGCACCTCCTTGAAGTACAGTGCTTTTCACACCATGACATCTGCAAGTTGTTGGAAAGACAGTGATAGAGACAGGATTTTAAACCTGGGGCAGGGAATCTTTCACACAGGATACTAAAGATTACAAGCATGTGTTTGCGTGCCCCCTTGTGTGTGTGTGTGTGTTGTATTAAAAAAAGAGACGTTTAAAGACCAAAAAGGGTTATTACAGTTCATAGTACATACCAGCTTCATCATGTTTCCTTGTGTCTCCAGGATCCACGTGGACTAGCTGGAGGATTAGAGGTCTCCTGGTTACAATGCCAGTCCCACGGGGCAGCAAGTCCCTGCCCACCAGGCTCTCCAACACAGAGCTCTTTCCACTACTCTGCAGGCAGAAGTGCATCAAAAAAAAGATATGAGTTAAAGCACCAGAGATATGGCTTGTTATAGTTCATTGTTTAAAGGGGACCTATTATGCTCTTTTCCAACCCCATTTTTAAATTCTTGGTAGCTTTACAGCTTTACATCATTCACAATTTATCCTTATTTAGCCTATACATTTAGCCTTAATGTAGCTCTTCAGTTCATCTACTGTCTGAAACAAGCCATTTTAGCTCCCCTCTCTATAATCTTATGACTGGCTGCACCTTGCAAACAAAAGATTTGAATATCAGGTCAGTGAGGCAGCTGGAAATGGAGCATTTAACCAGGAAATTTGGTTCACCCAGTCTACCTGTACATACAACCTTGTTATTTGGAACTTCCTCTTTTAGCACAAGCTTGTATGCAGTAGCAGCTTATAATCGGTAAGAATGTTTACTTTTAGTTCATTCTTTGATAGCTTAGGTGTCTTTTTTTAGTTATTTGTGATGGGTAAGATTTATGAATTTCAAAAACATGTGGAACCAGGGGTTTAAAATATATTTTTAGCAAACTACCAAAGCTAAAAGCTAACTAATTAAAATTACTTTTCCCAGTCAGATTAGTTTCAGTAAACAATCACAACTGTGGCATCTTCTTTCTGATTTAACACAACAGCATAAGGCTGATCTTATGATCTTGGAGCTCCGCTAAGCTAATTCTACCTCTTCCTCGGGCTATGTCCTAGTTTTGGTCTACAGAAGCTAGATGAGGATTTGGATATAATTAATGGTGATCAAAATAGACTTAATTGCTCTCGTCAGGTCAGACTCTGCGTATCTGTTTATTAGCTGTGAAAAAGAAGAAGTGACAATTTAGCAGAAGTCCCAGACACGGCCTTTGCGTCATTTTGATATGCGAATCGGTATCACGGTGCAGTAAATGCTACTCTCTTAGTCCTCCTACATACATGTATATCATTAAAACAAGGTTATCTGGCTAGCATGACAGCCTGCTGAGCAAAATGCACCCAGTCAGCCTTTTACCTGAGTCCCCACTACTGCAATCTGCGGCAGCTGGATAATATCCGCCCCTACTGTGTTGAACACATCCTGGAGCTTGTTTATGACGGGTATAAGAGCCTCCATGCTCATGAATGCTGAATTAACCTAATAAACCCGTATTTCTTCCGTGATGGAGCCAAAGTCATTCAATGTCCCTCCGACACCACCATTGCAACAACACCCACCAGACGGCTGAGAGATTTTGTGGGGTGCTGGGAGTTGTAGTTCTCCAATGGTCGAAAACGTATGGCTCAGGATAAGGAAAAGACTACATCGTATAGACGCTGAAAATGACGCCACAATTAGTTGTCTTGCGCATGCGTAGACGTTTTGTTGATGAAAAGCTAGCTTCATTCGCCAAGAAACTCGGCTACTTCCCTCCTTCTAACTTTGACCTGCCTGCATGCTTTTGTACCTTTGAGTTAGTTTGCTTACCTCTAGTGTCTTCAGTATTTCATCATGTTGCAGTTCCTGGTACGTTTTATATTTGTATTATTTTCCTTAAAAGTTGACGTCAGTTGCGAAGCTAGCCGAGTTAAAAATGTTAGCATTATGCTAACCGTGCAGCTAGTGCTGCTAGTTTGGATTGAAATTGAAACTGAGTTGCATGATTAGGAATAAAAGTCACTGTCAACCACCACAAAGGTAAAAAAATAAAAATAAACAAATAAATATATCTATCGGCTAAATAATCATAACATAAACTTACTTATGTACACAAACACACAGAGTCCTGAAAAATCTTCACTGCTTCCATGGTAGTTGTCAGTGCAAGTACCAGTCAGTTGCTGCTAATCAAATCCACTTTATTAATTTATCATCAAGAAGTGTAAACACCTGAAGTTGAAGTTTGGCAGAAACTGAAATTACTCAGGGGAGGGCTGATGATCTGGGCTTGTTTTGCAGCCACAGTACCTGGAAGCGTGAAGTCATTGAGTCCGTGAACTCCTCTCTAAAGTAGTCTATAGTGAAGGGTGAGGCCATCTTTCCGACATCTCATCCTCGGCCAAAATTGTGTTATGTGACAAGGCAATGATCCCGATTACAGTAGCGAATCTACAACAGAATTACTCAATGTGATGAAATGGCCCAGTTAAGGTCTAGCCTGATTAAAATGCGGTGATGGTACCTTAAGAGAGCTGTGAACAAACGATCGTCAGCAAACCTCAATAAAGTGAAGCAACGCTGTGACGAGGAGTGGGCTAAAATTCCTCTACAACGATGTGACAGACTGATAAAGTCATACAGAAAACAAGTTCTTCAAGTTATTGCTCGGTTCTACGGGCTATTGAATGGGGTGTGCTTAGTTTTTCACAGAACATTGTGGAATCCTGTGAAATCGTTTTTTTCACACTAGTTTAAAGGGTTTTAATGAACTTTGTTTTTCTTCCAGGCTGGCTTCACCTTGGGAAATGTTGTGGGGATGTATCTCGCTCAGAACTATGAAGTAAGTGTGTTTTGTGACTTGCAAACCATTTTTTCAATAATTTAGTGAAGATGTCACTTTAACCCATGTGCTCCACTAACCCCGAACCCCAAACCAAAATGTATCTGGTCTGGATAGATGCTGGCTGGAGCCTTTTATTCCTTCAGTGACTGATGTGTGCAATTGCAGTTTTGTAAGGTCGTTGCCAACTTATGGCCTTTATCTATGTATAGAAACGAATCCTGACTGAGCTATTAAAACACAATCACAGTATATGTGTACATTTCAAGTTTTTGCATTCTCTGTGTTTCTTGAATGTCTTTTTTGAACAACCAGAACATCTCAGTTATGATCTGGACTCTGGTTGGTTTGTTTACTTGTTGGATTTGGGTTATTGTCTCTACGCTTATTTTCTTGATACAATTTTAAATTTATTGTTCCCTAAAAGCAGCTTTAAACCATGTTGTTCCCTTCAGTGCGTTGGTGTACAGTGCCTTCTTTTTCCTTCTGACAAGTTGTGCAATATTTCAAAGATTTCCATCATTACCATTCCTTGTTTTAAATAGTATGTATTTAATTGTCTGTAACCAGACTTTGAATGTCTTTATTTACATCTGGAATCTGTCAAGTTCGATTTCTATAGCACATTTTAAATGACCTCAATTGATCAAAATGCCCAAAGTGCTGTAAAAGTTATGACTTGAGATGATCGTAACACATTTTCTGAGTAATCTTTGTTGTTCCAAAGGGTTCAGATATTTTCTTGCAACTGCATGTTCAGTGCCACTTTCTGCAGTCCTGGCTGTATCTATTATCTCCCACCTTTGTAAGATGGATACAATAGATATTTAAGTTTGAAGCTTACCGCAAAAATCTGAATGTTGTATTTTTTTTAATGAAAAATGTACTTTAGATCAGTTAATTTACACTACATTAGTTTTAGTTTGGTGCCTCTAACAAACCACAACCTATACATTTCTCAGACTTTATTACCGGTAGTTGTAATTTGTATCTTTCCCCTCTAGGTGCCCAACATAGCCAAGAAAATTGAAGCTTTTAAGAAAGATGTGGAAGCCAAGAAGAAGCCCCCAGAGTGAGCAAAGTGGGACCATGATGCAAGCAAGAATGGACATCCTCTGCAGAGAAACTATTTATTTTAAAGGCTTATTTTGATGTCATGGTTGTACACTTGATAAAGAGTTGACCATGTTACATGTATATGAAAATATAAGCCGTGCCTGGAACAGTGTTTGTTTCTTCCCTTAGTTTTATAGGCATACTCTTTGTAACCTATTTTCTAAGGTAAATAGTGCAAAGACTGGATTTAAAGAATATTACAAAAAAAACTAATGGGATCATTTTAATTCCAGTTTCATGGTACTGCTGGTTGACCATTTTTGTTATGCATTCAAGCTATTCAATATGTCCACAGAAGATTTTAGAGTTATAAAGTTAATAAAGAAGATTTTCCTTCACACACCTCACAATAACTGCCAAAGTTTTCATTGTTGTTGTACAAACACCATTCTGAACAATACAATAAAGTTGAATATAATGAAGTCCTGTAAAGTCTCATGCAGTAAGTTTTACTAGAATTAATTATTTAATGCCTCAAACACTCCAACTGTCATCTCAAATCCATCCAGTAGGTGTCACCATTGGAAGGCAGTTAAAATTCTCTTTGGCAAAATTTATGATTCAGTTTTTCTTCTTTCGTTTTGTCCCCTTCTTTTTCTTCTTTGAATTTGGCCATCCAAATCCTCTGAACTCCAGGCAGTCTGCTGCATTGTGAGCAATGTAGTAGATATTCTCCATGGCTGCTGGGCTGAGGATGTCCACCTCGGTTGTGGTGACTTTGGCACTACATGAGGACCTCTTTTTAGGTGTCTTTGGGGCCATAGTCTTCTTGGCTGACTTAGAACTGTGGGATCTTGATTTCCTGGTGGGCTTTGGAGAAAATACGTGGTTTAATCACTCGTCTATAAATATATAAATGTCTTCATTATTTTTTACTTTACCATAGTGAATGTCAATCTTGCTTCAGTAAGTGATCAGATTTTCATCTGTAAAACAAGAAATCAGGTTTTTCTCTGCCAAAAAAGATTTAAAGTTTTTAGGACAAAGTGCCTAAAATGATAATAAAATACAATCATTTCATACCAGCTCTTGCCTTGGCACTGTAAGTGGCACTCGAATGGCTTCAGCGGTGACAGTGATACCCCATCTGTTTACATCCTGTTGTCGTAGAAACAGACCGGACTTGCTCATGTATGAAGGGGTTGGCCTTCCTCCTGAGCTTAAATTCTTTTGCTGTATCTGAGACACAGCTGGGCATCAAACACCACACACCGCTTACATTAAGTAAGGAAGAAAAACAGCCAACAACAGGTTATCATCACAATAATTTAATGGTAGTGCAGCGTTCAGTGGAATTCATGTTAAGACAGTAGCTTTCCAGTTTCTTTGGCAGCTCTCACCAAATCATCCTGGTGTAAAAAGCCCTTGCATTCACATTGTGAAATTGTACTTTAACATTTAAATACATTCAGTAAATGTACACCAACTGTATTCCATGCAGAAGCTCTTGGATCTTTTAGTCATGCATTACAAATAAACTCATAGTACAAAATCCAATATGGACCCAAGAAACTTCTCAGTTGTGAGCAAGACACAACCCAAAATAAAAAAACCACTGTATACCAACTCTGTGACATCACTTAACAATCAATCATGTGCCAATTTATGTGCACATACCATGCAGCGGTAGTATGACATCAAAAACTGAACGAAGCATTAGCTGCTTTAGTCCAGCAGGAATAAGAGTGGAATCTTAATAATCACCTGCATAGAGACATTTTTTTCTTTAAAGGCAGAATTTGCTTTAAAAACCTTGAGTGCAAAAGCAACTCCGTGGAAAACAACACTTTTAAGTGTCAGGTGGCAACACCGTGGTGTACTGAAACTGAGCTCATGTCAAATATTTGCCCAGCTAATCTTCCTCTGACTATCCACCATCAATGCAGTAATATTGACTTTTTAAAGAATTTTTAATAAAGACTTTGTGGGAGTGATGCAGGAGCACAAAGACATTAACACTGGGGCTCCATGCATCTGAGCCCTTTAAATAAAGAAATAATAATAAAGGAAGCTTTGAGTAGCAGAGCTACTCTGTAGAGATGAGGTGGACGATCATTTGTATGATGCTGGAGCCACGGGGGCAGCTGCACAGGTCCATGCTCGGGTTTTTGATTTTATCCTCCAGAAGCAGGTCCAGCTCCCAGCGCAGCTCCTTCAAAAGCTCAGCCACCTGGATATAGTCACACAAGCACATGTAGTAACATATATGTTAACTTATATGTTGTAGTTGTTTAGTTGTCGTGCTTGCACTCTCCATAAAACTTGTTAAACCTTTAAAGCATATAAACTACACAGCTTGTACGCCCGTTGCAATACTAAGCTCTGAGCCAGCTGAAACTTTTTGTTCATGTGATCAAAGAAAAAAAAACAAAAACAAAAAAAATCAGATCCTCTGACCTGGTGTGAAGCAGCAGCAAATCGGATCCACCCATCATCCAGGGAGATGACAAACTCGCTTCTGTGCAGCTCCACGTTGACCTGTCCGCATCCAAACAGCACCAGCGGGTAAACAGACACCATGCTGCAGTCCCTGATGAAAACGCGACTCGTTTTCACCTTCTCATGGTAAACCAGGTACGGGCTGTTGTAGTGGCGAACCTGGTGCATAAAGAACAGAAAGGTGAGGCTTATTTCTCCTACAAGTTGTTTAATTTGGAGCGTATCTTTTTTTCCCCCCCTAACCTCACCATATAGTTGACGGATGATGGATGCACGTGGACGTAACCGTCGTTCTTGGTCACAAAGCGGAGCTCGTTGGCTTTGGGTTGCATCTTCATCACTCCCGTGCCCGTCTTCTTGTAAGTCCCTTGAGGAGCTCGTACCTGCAGGACATCAAGTGTGAATGTTTCATACTTCTGTTTGGCTTTCTGTTCTTTACTTGTATGACACAGAGGGGGACTATGCCCACCTGGACCACGTTAGGATAGAGGGCAGCACACAGCATGGCGGACATCAGCCGGATGTTTCTGGAATTTAGGTTTGCCTGAGATGCAAAATATTAGAATTTTTGAATTATTTTCTCCAAGATGAACCCTTGAATCACTGATTCAGTGATTTGTATGCGTCACCTCAGGGCCAGTAGCTTCCATGACCCCGTCTGTACCCTTGTAAGACATTTGCTCAATAATCCTGGCCTTCAGTCCCTCCTTGATGAAGCCAATGTCGGACAACAGCTCAGCAAACTGCCTCTTCAGACTGGCGATCTCCTGCCAAAGTTCACAATTCACCATTTCAAGTATTTTTCATATAAAACACACTGCTCGGGCCATTTGAAATTAAATCTGAATACATTGGAAGAACTTCATAAGCTTTAGATTTATATTCAAACAGAGAAGATCAGAATTATACTGTAGAGCAAGTGAGTTTATTGATTCTGGACAAGTGATTAAGTGCTTCTGGACACCACTGCCTCACCTGTAAACCCCGCCATGACAGGAAGTTCTCCCTGCAGTAGAGGAAGCTGGCCCGGTGGCCATTCCTTGCTGCGGAGCACCATCCCTGCATGAAAAAAAAGGAAAGTTTTTATATTATCTGTATGTATTTCAACATCTTTGAATTATCTTATCACAATAAGCAAATGGAGTAGGGACCTTGTATGCCTGTAACAAAGCTAGATGGTCACTTTTAGCCACTGCAAACTCCACTTTCTTTTTATTTGCTTCCTCTCGCTTATCCCATGGAGACACCTGGAAGCAGACCAGATTTTCATTTCCATAGAATTAGACACTTGCATTACAAATATACATAATAAACAAATAAATGTAATTATGTAACCTCCTATCTGTTAAAAACAAATAGAAAAGACAAAGAAAAGACAAATTACTGCGCTGTGTACTATATTTGTAATTGTTAATGAGCCTAAAATCAGTGGCATGCTGCAGATGAACTGCACATAGCGTCTCTCAACAGAAACTAGCGCCTTCTTACAAATGGGGATTTGAAGGCCAGACTTGCAGCAATGGTGAGTGCTGGGTCAAGGCAGCGGAAGATGGCGCCGAACAGCATGAGCTTTCCGATGCGCACGTCGACAGGCAGGCAGGCCAGGTGGTAGCCCAGCGGGGTCAGCTTCTCATCTGTGGTCAGAGCTCCCAGGTCCTGAAGGCGCTGCTTGGCAGCGTCCAAGCTTCCTACTAACGGGGGCTCGATGAGCCGAGAGAAGACTGACTCCAGCGCCTGCTCCGCGAACACATCCAGGATCTTGATTCTGTTACAGAAAGGTCAGTGTTGTGAACAACCGTTCTGGAATTTCTCGAAATCAAATTCCATTTGCATTTTATAGTCAGAGTTATGTGGGGAAAAACAGACTGCTCTACCGGAGACAGAGCTGCTCTAGAGGCGCTCTCTGGATCTCGGGCAGCTGCTGCTCAGCCAGCTGGTGTTTAAAGCAGTGGCTGGTGAAGAGGTGGAAGCAGACCCCCGAGGCCACACGACCTGCTCGACCCCTTCTCTGCAGCGCGTTAGCTTGAGAAACCCACGTGTCCTCCAGGCTCTCCATGCTTTTAGATGAATCGTACCTGAAAGAAAAAAAATAAAAATATCAAGGGAGACTTAGAGATTTGTGGATTTGAGCATATATCAGTGCATCTTCATGTATCACAAAACCATTTTAATATGATTGCATGGGCCTTTTAAAAAAAA